GGAACCCCGCCTGATCCACGATGGGGTGCGGAGCCTCAGGCTTCCAGCCCTAAGAAGAAAGCTCCGCCATCTTCGGCGACGCATTCCGAGGATCAGGAGATGGCTCCTGCTCCTCCGGATGCCTCTCAGGAGGCGTCTTCCTCCTCTGCAGCGCCTGCGGCCAACGTGACTCCCCCAGCTGAGGCAGGGAGTCCGGAGGTCCGGATCCCTAGCCTCGCGGAGTCTATGAAGGCAGGCTTGGCACGGGAAAGAGCGGCGGCACGCGCCAAGGAGGAGCCTGCTGCTTCGGCCCAGGAGGCCGCGGCTGCGGCTCCTGAGGCACGGCGCGACACCCGCCTTCCTGCAGTGACCAAGGAGGAAAAGGAGACAGCAGAGGCTAAGTCCCTCTCCTCCCTCAAGCGCGCCGTTGAGGAGAGCGGCTCTGAGCGTCAAGGCCCCGCGGCCAAGCGGTCCACCACCAAGAAGGAAGAAGCGCCCTCGGCACCAGCCGGCCCTGCAGGAGCCGCGGCCGGGACAGGCGCGGCTCCCTCGTCTAGTGGCGAGGCAGGTGCCGAAGAAGGTGCCAGCGGGGCCGCTGCTCCGTCGAGCACAGACAAGCGGCGACCCGCGGAGACGGAGGGACCGCCGCCGCCCAAGAAGCGATTCACAACATGGCAGGATACCATGGAGTCGCCGGCTCCCCAACACCGAGTTTCGGGGGTTTACGGACTCTCGAACGAGGTTCCCGGGTCCGATTGGCGCGACGTGGACTGGGATGCGACTCCACCGCCGGGGCCTGGAAGGCCCGGCGCCCGCGACGTGGATCCCAGGCTCACGGTCCCCCTTGATCTCCAACATGATGAACAGATCCGGGAATTCTTCCGAGGCGGTGGTGAGCATACGCTCGAGCAGCTCCTCGCGTTGGCGCGGCGCCGGAGGCGCGCGTTCGTCTACCAGGCTGCGATTTTGTCGAACAGGCCAGTGTTTGAAATCTGGCCCGATTACGTTGAAAACGAGCTTGGACCGACACCCGAGCGCGTTCCGCTCCTCACAGGCAAGGTCTGGCCTTGGGGCTGGTGGGATTGCTTTACTTGTGGGCGTGCGAACCCACCAGGACGCAATACCTGCCGGCACCATGATTCCGAGGAGCTCGGAGGTGCCCCCTGTGTGGGGATCTTCGAGGACAGCCTGTACTGGAGCACGCCGGTGGACCTGCGAACGGCGACGGCGTGGTTCATCGAGGTCTGGCTCGATGAACATAAGGAACGCATAAAGGAGTACCTTTATGCGAAGCGTTCGGACGCGATCGCCGCCGCAATGTCCAACGCCTACTGGACCTGTGGGCGGGACACATGCCAAGAGAGGAACATGTTATGGAGCAAACTGTGCTTTAAGTGCAGTGGCCCTAAGTCGGGCGCGTCGTTCATAACCCACGGCATGCCGCCCCAGGAAGGCGACGATGAAGCTGCTTCTTCGTCGGAAGAGAGCGAGGGCACGAAGATGGAACGGATCGAGCGTTCCCTCAACGCCGATCCCCTTGCGGAGCATGCGAGGAAATTCCTCCGCTCCGGACGGAAGAGGCTCCGCGCTGAAAAGCGCAGGCAGGCAGAGCTCTCTCAAGACTCTGCACGAGCCTGGTGGAGCCAACCTTCCTCCGGGCGCGGTGCACCCAGTGGGGGCCGCAGCTCTGGCAGCAAGGGTGGTGGCAAAGGTGGTGGAAGGGGAAGCTCGAACCGCTACGGCAACCGAGGATGGTGGGCCGGAGGTGCTGCCGGACTGGCATACTCCTCCCGCCTCGGCGAGCGTGCTGGGCAGCCCGCCCTCACGCTCCCACTGCGTGGCCCGGGTGGCCACAGAGTGGCGCCCGAGGCCCCTGCCGTTTCTTCTCGCCCCGCTGTCTCTTCCGGGCCCTCGAACCGTGGTGGGTTCCTTGGGGCCGTGCGCTCGATGGGCGCTGCGGTCTCCAGCTGGGCTCTCTCCAGGAGAGCGCGCAATCGCGCAGCCCACGCCACAACGGGCAACATTGGATGGAAGACGGGTTTGGTGGCCGCTGCGCTGGCGCCTACCCTCTTCACTGTTGAGCGCGGTGCCAGAGAGGTGGCACACGTGAGCCTCACTGCAGTTGCCACTGCGGCGGAGGACCTCATCGAGGACTCCTCTGGTATCCTCGTTCGGGGTGTCCGCGTGGTTGGCTTGACGGCCGTCGTCCTACTGTGGACGTTCGCGGCCGTAGTGCTGTGGTGGGCCGGACGTGTCGCCACTAACCGGCTAATGCACGCCATGAACGGTAACCCCTTTGGGAATGCTGTTCTGGTGTCGCTCGAAGGCCGGGAGGCCGTCTTTGAGGTAGCCTCGAAGACTAAGGCCGGCGCACACAGAGTCCTGGTGAAGAGCGGGTCGGGCGCGGATGGCGCAGGCTGCGACTGCAAGGCATTCCTCAACGAGGGACGTTGCGGTCACATAGAACGCGCTGTTGAAGCTGCGGGGCAACTCGTGGCCATGACAGGCGCGAGCTCTGCCCCAACGCTGTCCGTCGCCCCGGCCGCGACTAGACGCGCCCGTGCGATCCTCGGCGCGCCGGCCCTGGAACAGGGGTGCCTTGCCGGCATGGTGTCGAAAGCGAGATCGCTCTCTGAAAGAGCTCGGAATGTCGGGAACCAGTCCGAGGGTTGCCTTGACGGCTTTACCAAGCTCAGAGGCCGCCACGAGGTGGCCACAGTGTCGGCGCCTCCGACAGAGACTGTTCCGAAGACGCCTGCAGCGGAGGCTTCCCGCCAGGGTAACTCTGCGGCGTCTCCGGCTCCGACAGCTCCCATGTCGAGCCAGGCACGGCGTGTCAGAGACTTCCCGATCCCTGACGGCTTCGAGCGAGCCGGGGTCAAGTTTCTGACCCTTCCGGAGGATCACGCTGTGGTACAAACGATGCTATCGGACGCTGGGCATGGGGACCACGTTTACGTGCGAGCCTACAGCTTCGATAGCAAGCCTTTGGTTGGAGCCCTCGTGTCCTCGCTGGAGCGAGGCGCCCGAGCCCACGTGCTTGCCGACAACTCGCAGACGAGCCGGACCAAGCTCCAGCTGCAGTCCCTCCAGGAGCTAGGGGCGGCTGGCGTCCAGGTCCGTGTCGGCAAGGGCACCTCGGTCAAGGCGGCTTACGCCGCCGAGAACCGCACGGACGTGAGCATCGGCGAAGGCCTCGCGGGCATCCACCACGCCAAGACGGTGCTCGTGACGAGGCCGGACTCCACAGTTAGCGCCGTGATAGGAAGCCTAAACTTTAGTGCTAGTTCACGGGCCAACGCGGAGGTCGGCATCGCGGTCGCCAGTGTGCTGACCTCTGAATTTAGCAAAAAGTGGCTAGATTCGTTTGGCACCGAGTGGTCCAAGGCGCTGAAGCTCGAGGAGTTCGAAGCGCCTCAGCGGAACCACCGCGGGCGGGCAAAACCCTAAAATGTCCAGCAGCCCGCCGCGCAACCCAACGTGGAGCCGCAGTGACCGTGGACTAGAAGTCGCGGACTGCGCTCCGCCCTTCTAGCCACCTGTGGCAACTTCAGTTTTGGTCGCAGCACCTAGCTGCTTTCCGATGAGCCGACAGGGTGGCGTATCCGCTCTACAGGTCTTTGACGGGAGCGGCTAGGGAGGCACGGTAGTGCTCCCGAAGCGCGTGGAGTAACGCCGCAGCTTCAGCTGCTCGTTTCACCAGCCCTGTGGCCGCAGTGCGGCGCAGGCTGTGTACAGTAGGAAACCAGAGCCTCGTGCAGCACAGGCAGTGAAAAACGAAGGTCTTGTGCTGAGTGCGAAGGGTTTGTAGGAGGGCAGGGTCTGTAGGTCAGTTTTACGGCCTCCGGCCGCCCGCGGAATCCTACGGCTCTATCGTGCTATCGGCTGAGGGGCGAATGTAACTGTACATAGTCTGCGGGCTGGCTGTTGTGCTGTATGCTTTTATGCATGCTCTTCTGTAATTCGTATTCATAACATTTTGGCTCAAGTGAGCACGGCAGTGTGTCGTTGGTAGCTTCTCGTTGCCGCGACGCAATTGCGCGCAGCCCGTCCTGGGCGGACGTTCGACCTGTCACGGTCGTTGGACTTTCTGCTTGAACGGAAAACGAGGGTGCGTGCTGCCCCTTTGGGTTTCCGTTCTCCACAGGTAGTGGTAATGGTAATGGTAATGGTAATGGTAATGGTAATGGTAGTGGTAGTGGTAGTGGTAGTGGTAGTGGTAATGGCAGTGGTAGTGGTAGTGGTAGTGGTAGCGGGAGTGAAAGGGGAAGTGGGTGAAAGGGGAAGTGGAAGGAGGAGTAGTAGTAGTAGTAGTAGTAGTAGCAGTATAGCAGCAGTAGTAGTAGCAGTAGTAGTAGCAGTAGCAGTAGCAGTAGCAGTAGCAGTAGCAGTAGCAGTAGCAGTAGTAGTAGTAGTAGTAGTAGTAGTAGTAGTAGTAGTAGTAGAACGAGTACACTAGTGCTGCCAGCACGAATAGTATCAGTAGTATCGACAAGTAGTACCAGCAGGAGAAGTGGTGGTGGTAGCAATAGCAGTAGCAGTAGCAGCACAAGTAGCAGCAGCAGGAGTAGTAGCTGCAGTAGTAGTCAGTAGTAGTAGAAGTAGCAGGCGCAGTGGCAGCAGCAGTAGCAGTGGTAGGCAGAGGGAGTGAGGGGCAGGAGGTCCATCGCGAGCAGCAGTGGTAGGACCAGCAGTCGAAGCAGAACAAGCAGTCGGGATAGCAGCATCAGAGCCCCTACCTCCCCTCAAGCACGAGAGTCCTGAACAAAATCTGCGTTCTGAACCCCTACATTTCCGGAAAGTTGTGCAATTGAGGAACGGCCTTGAGTCCGTGGAGCTCGTGCGGCCTGTCGTGCAGCAAGGCAGCCCGGTTGATTGATAGGTAAAGGGTGGAACCTCCAGCTTCAGGGTGAGGGTTGATAGACTGATAGCCGCTCCAGACAGGCCGAAAGGAGCTCATCGAGAAGTGGCTCAAGGAAGACAAGCTCGAGTGCACGGAGGACTGGGATTAAGATTGTTGGATGTCCAACGAGGGCACGAGCAGAATTGTGGCAAGTGGTGCTGCTAATGCTGCGAATGCCGTTCCCGCTCATGCTGTCATTCCTATTCTCCTATCACCGCAGCCCCCGCCACGCACGACCATAGCCGCCACCACCAGCACTACCAACAACACCCACACCAACGGCGGCAGCAACAAGAGTGCTACCCCGACCAGCAACAGCACCACGACAACGAGCACAACGACGACAGGAGCACAGATCTTGGAAACAACAAACAACAATAAAAGGGACAGCGTCAGCAACGTGTATAACCGTGACAGTGACAGCAACGGGGCAGGAGTCAGCAGGGCTGCGAGCGGCTAAAATGCCTTCTGGCGAAGCTTTCGTTTAGGAGCATCTTGCACTAGTCACTAGTCAGAACCTCAGAAGGGCACAGTCTGGTCAACTGTCTTTAGATGTTCAGAAAGAGCACTACTAGGTAGCAATCCGAAAGTGTCGCTCTTGCAGGCCTGAATTGACGTACCACTACTAGTGCTAGCGGTGGTGGTAGTAGCAGTAAACGCGGTAGTGGTAGAGTCTGGAGTCGGAGTAGGAGCGCGACCACTACTAGTACGACTAGTACTGTCCTACTGCTAGTCCTCGTCCTCGTCGTTGCCGTCGCATCGTTGCCGTCTTCTTGAAGCACGCAGTAGGTATATGCAGGTATCATTACTGGTTGTGGTCTTGGTGGTGATGGTATAAGTACTACTCATGTTCACCACCGTTTCATCATCATCATCATCATCGTCATCATCATCATCATCAGAGTCACTAACATCGGCATCGTCATCATGATCATGGTGATGATGATCATAACCATGATCACCGTTATCATCGCCACCATCAGCATCACCATTCTTGTCCTCGACATCGTCATCATGATGATGGTGGTGGTCGTCATTTCACAATCATCAACATCATCATCATCAGCACCTATTTCTTCCTAACCACATTCATTGCCATTGTCATCACCAGCGCCACCGTCATCTTCTTCTTCATCGTTGTCATCATTGCTCTCGTCGCCGTCGTCATCTGCATCATCTGCATCACCAGCATCCGCAGCATTATCACCATTATCATCGCCGTCGTTGTCATCATCTGCGTCATCGGCAGCATCATTGTTACTTTCATAATCATTATGTTGAATGGTGCTACCAGTCATCGGTCTTCAGATTCAGGGGCTGTGGTCAAAGCAGCGCTGTTGAAAAGCTGAGCTACAAAAGTACGGGATCCAGCCTGCAGGAACTCGGAGACATCGTGCGTCCGATCGAGACAAAGAAGCTCAGCGCGACAAGTTTGATGGTGCCAGGTTCTAGACTTGAGTTTCGGGTTTCGATGCTGGCACCTTCCTGGATATAGACGTCTAATGAGTGTTCGGGGCTAGAGGTGAGCTGGACGGCACAAATTCTAGCTAAAGGCCAGCTTTCTGGCCTCCCGTTTCCGGAGCAGATTGAAGCATCCTAAAGGTCGGGAGATGTCTCGTTCCGCAACCGGCGGCTCTAACTGTCTTGAGCACCTACAGCCCCAGCGACCTAAAGCCTTAGCCTAAAGCCACCACCTGACAGTGCGAAGGGGCTAAATGCAGCCACAGAGCCCGAAGAAAGCTTCTGCAAGCAGAGGTTTGCGCTTTCCATCTACCTCCGTGCCCACGTCCACCAGAAGGTCGCTTGGATATCGCTTCGTTTGCGGGCGGTCTGGTTTGGGGGTTTGGGTTTGGGTGCTAGACTTTTTCAGCCTTGTGCACGGGCTTCAAAGGAAAATCCGCCCGTAAGGCCTTTAAGATGAGATACGCAAACGTCGAAAGAGATCAAGATTTGGCACTCGGAAAGGTTTAAGTGCCCGAACCCTGGGAGGGATCTTCGTTTCCTGTTTGATGGGTGCTGTGTGTGCGGTCTTTTTGTGTGGGCGGTTTGGCATCAAAGATGGGCAGCGTCTGGGTGGGTCGGACAGGAGCATCACGGGTTCTGTTCGGGCAGCCCAAATTGGCACAAGCAGCCCGACGCGTTCGACCGCAATCCGAATCCCGAAATGCAGATCTCCCCCAAACACCCAGAGCCACAACGCGAGAATCCAAGGTCATCCAGTGCTTCGTGGAGCTTGGGCAGATAGACCAAATCGTTGCCTACGTGCCGGGCTCGGACTGTGACGGATGCAGGTTTGGAGCTTCGTGCTGGTGGGTTTATGCGGGTTGAGGGCTAAGGAGCTTTTTTGATGGGAGGACTTTGCTCGCGGCCTTCAAGCGGGTTTTAGGTAAACTGGCAGGTATGGGGGGTGTGGCAGGACGCTCGGAGAGCTTTAACCGAGGAGTCGTGACGCACGCTCAACTACAAAGCAATGATCATCAGAAAAGGGTACAGCCCTGACACCGGCCCCACGGACTCTTTCTCGGAGCAGTCGCCCCGAAGCTCATGGCCTGAAGCGGGTGAGCCGTAACCTCTTCGCCACACATCAACGCTGAAACATACATCCCTGAATTGACCCGAAGCCGTCAGGTCAAGAGAGTCGGCTATCAGGCAGACTACTCCCAGCTTTTGCAGAACATGGCGCGGGGCTCGCTGATTGCCTGGGGGCTGCTGCATCTTTTTTCTTCGAGGTCCTACGGGAAGACTTTGGAGGCTTTCAGTGGCAAATCCTGCTGAGGATCCAGTCCATTGAGAAATTGGACTCTGCAAGTAAAGCTACAAATCTTGCAAGTGCAAGGGTCCCGATGCAGCCCAGTACAGGACTTAGAGTCCAAAAGGAAGGTGAAGGGAACCTGTGTCTTTGCTGAACACCTTTGATCGCATCATCCGCGGTTTCAAGGGTGATGGTATCTCCTCTAAATTGCTAGCAGCGTTGGCTCCGGGTTTGCGGCCGTGGGGCTAGCCTTTTGATGTTTTGACAGCCGCTTTGGCTAGTTGCTCTTGCTTCCGCTTCAACATCTAAATCTAAACCCAAAGGTCCGCGTTCCGCGTTGAGGTGCGTGCTCAGGCTGAAACTGAGCATAGGCCTGGAGTTAAACCGCAAACTCTTCCAACCCTGCTGCAGAGACAGCCCAGAAAGGTTGCGACCAATCCAGAGGGTGCGACCAACTTTGCGAAGAGTCTTTTGGAGGTCCCGAGAGGGTTCGACTGATTTGAAGGCTTTCCAGTAATTTAAAGTTTACGTCAGAGCTGAGGCTGCCGGGCTTGGGCGTGGAGTGGAGGGTTTCATGATTCATGCATGTGGTGCTTTGGCGGCTTAGGAAGCGGGCTCCCTTACAGTCGCAAGGTAGAGATCTCCTCAAGCTTTGTTTAGGTCTGTAGGTCTTTAGAGTCTTATCCCATCTTCTTGAAGCTTGGGGTTTGCGATATTGTATTGTGGAGAATTCTCCGTAAAGCTAAAAGCCTGAAAATCAATTCATGCACAAGTTTTGACGATAATGCAGATTATCAAACATGCTGTTAACAAGGTGGAGACATGTAGTCAATTGGAAGCCAGCGCAGAGGCGGACGTGAATGTCTCGTTGCGTTCGATGGGGCATCGCCCGATCCACCCACCCACCCACCCACCCACCCACCCACCCGTTTAATCACCCACTTACACAGCCACCATCAAGCGTAAACCCCGAACCCGGAATTTCATCTTGATGCCAACTAAGAACCCTTGCACTCAAAACCCTTGACCCAAATCTACGGCACTAAAGCATTTTCTGATGAAGAGAGCTCTGCAAAGCAGGGGCAGAATGGCGTACCTCTCATTGACATCAACCAGGCCAGTCCGCATCGAAGGTCCTAACTTAAAGTCCTGTAGAGGTCAAGTTTCGATCATTTCGCAAAAGGCTCTAGAGTCTAGAGTCCTGCGGTTTTGTGATTTCGGGGTGTGTATGGCTTTGGGCTGTGGGTCTAGGCAAACCTTCATGAAGGTTTAGTTTAGCTTGGCCTTGGTGGCTCTCGCGACGGTGTTCCTTGATCAGAGCTTTTCTGTGCAAGCCGCATTGGCTGCTTCTGATCTGTCTATCGATCTTGTTCTTGCGCTGTTAGTTGTTTGTCGTTTGTCGTTTGTTGCTTGTTGTTGTTGTTGCTGTTGCTGTTGCTGTTGCTGTTGCTGCTGCTGCTGTTGTTGGTGTTGGTGTTGGTGTTGGTGTTGGTGTTGGTGTTGGTGTTGGTGTTGGTGTTGTTGTTGTTGTTGTTGTCGTCGTTGTCGTTGTCGTCGGCATCTCTCTCTCTCTCTCTCTCTCTCTCTCTTCTCTCTCTCTCTCTCTCTCTCTCTCTCTGTCTCCCTCTCTCTCGCTCTCTCTCGATCTCTCTCTCTCTCTCTCTCTCCCAGCCGGCTGGCGTCAAGATGATGCTCTGCCTTGTCTGATACCTCTTTTTCTTGACACAACTGGGTGATCAAGAGGCAAACCACGACTCATTTCTCCATCACGGTGCCTTTGATGTTGATCTTCCTCTGTACGTCCATAGACACTGTTGCTTGGTGGATTCTGTCTGTACGACCACCATTGCTGTCCAAGCCCCCGCACCCCCAGCACCCCCAGCACCCCCAGCACCCCCAGCACCCCCAGCACCCCCAGCACCCCCAGCACCCCCAGCACCCCCAGCACCCCCAGCACCAGCTCCAGCATCAGCACCAGCAGCAGCACCAGCATCAGGACCAGCACCACCGCTAGCTTCATCATCATCGGAGTTCATCGTCCTCGTCGTCGTCCTCCTCCTCCTCATCATCATCATCGCGTCAACATCGAAGTTCCTCCTCCTCCTCTTCCTCCTCCTCCTCCTCCTCATCATCATCTTTGTGTCATCAACACGAACATCATCGTTGCCGTCGTCATCATCATGACCCCTGGAATCGAGGTCGCAGTTGTGGTCGTGGTGGTGGTGGTGGTGGTGGTGGTGGTGGTGGTGGTGGTGGTGGTGGTGGTGGTGGTGGTGGTGGTGATTTTGGTGTTGGCGGTCGTGGCGGTTGTGGTGTTGTGTCGTTGTCGCCGTCGTTGTCGAGGTCGTGGTCGTCGTACTCGTCCTCATTCTTTTCAGCTTCGTCAACCACAGCATCGCCCTTTAACACCATTATGATCATCATCGCACCCTTCATCCTTTACATCCCAAGCTTCTTGTTCACAAGCGTCTCTCCCTCACTCACTCACTCACTCACTCACTCACTCTCTCTCTCTCTCTCTCTCTCTCTCTCTCTCTCTCTCTCTCTCTCTCTCTCTCTCTCTCTCTCTCTCTCTCTCTCTCTCTCTCTCTCTCTCTCTCTCTCTCTCTCTCTCGGCTTTGCAGCATTTCCCGGCGCAGCCGTGCAACCAGGTCGTTAAGGTCTTCATGGACCAGAACCGCCTGCAGGAGACTACATCGATCATGTTGGATGCCCTCAAGGCCTGAGAGCACTTCATTGAACTTTCGAACACTCTCCCGCTCCCCAAAGACCTCAATGCTCCTAGAGTTTTGATGTGGTGAGTCCGAAGCACCCCTTGAAAGCTTGAAGGGCCTCATTCCAGAAACCTGGCAGCCGCCACGTTTTGAAGCCACATAACCAAAGCTCCACTCAGAAAAGCCTTCGACGTACAACCACAAACTGAGATTCTCTAAAGCACTTGACCCCAATCCCCGAAGCCCCCCGACCGACCCCATTTTTTCTTGTTTGTCTCATGACCAAAGGCGAACAAGCCGGAGCAGGGCAGCCTTCAGGCGCGTGTGATCCATTTGTGCAGCCGGAAGCGGTTTCGATTTCGGAGGGGCGGTTCGAGGGCTTTGGAAGTTACAGGTTCCGTTTAGGGCTCTGAGCATGGCGGGTGTTGCCGCGCTTCAGGTTGTTTAGCGTTTCCGGTTCTGGGATTTCCAGTTTTCTTTTCGAGCTTGTTGTGTTGGGAGATGTTGGGAGGCATCACAGCACTCGGGCTTGTTTCTCAGTGTTGTCATGTGTTTGTAAGGTGTCGGGCTTTTTGCCCTTTCGATGATCTTTAGGGTGTGGGCACGCAGGATTTTGGTATTTCTGGGGTTAAGGCTCGGGCCCTGAACCCGGAACCATCGACCCTACACACCCTGAGCCCATAAAAAGATTGAAATGCCCCGTCGGTGAATCAGAGCTCCCGAGCACCCGTTTGCCCGCCGTCTTCCTAACCCGAACCCCTTCGTCCCTTTCCAAGCTTGAACTGTCTTGACCTTGGGGTTCTCTTGTGTTGACCCACATTCGCTGCGCAGACCCAGCTCTTGGCCATGAACTTGCAGCAACTTGATTCCGAATGTATTGGGGCGGGACAAGACAGTCATTTTGCGTCATGGACAACCCGATATTGCTGAGCTTTATTCGATCAGGAACGTCAGTATGCAGAGACATCCAGGTCCAGAGTGGGTTTGGTCTAGAAATTTGCACATGTGGTTGAGATATTTTGGTTTTGTGCTCCAGGGTTTATAGTAGGGTTTAGGGCATGCACAGTGCTATTGCTTGCGCATGCGGCAACTCTCTACGATCAAAACGAGGTTGATGCACACCACCTTCTCCACACTTTGCACATCCTATGATCCTCAGCATTCTGACCTTGCGCAAGCCGATGGTCGTGTAGTGATGGAGGCAGCAGTGACAGAACTTGTCTTGGAAAGTAAGTAGCTCCTCCGGTGGCGCGGTTTGACGCGGTGTCCGGTTGCAGGGGTTAGGGGATTTGCAGTTTGTGGCTGCCCACGCAGGAATTTAGGTTTTGGTCAGGGCGTGATACGTGTCGAAAACAGCGCCCTAAAGTTAACAGCTTCGGGGACCTAGTCCGCAACCAGTACAGTAGGAGAATATGAGAGCTTGAATATCTACTGCGACCGTTATCTTGTACTTGTGAGTGTACGGCGAAGAACTGTCCTGCAGACGGTTTCGGACAACTGTTGCACGCATCTCATGCCCTTGGTTTGCATTTGTCTGTGGACAGAATGCCAGCCCGGTTATCACATAAGCAGAAGCGGGGAACAACCCGGGCACACCTTTTGGGCTTCGGACATCCGAGCAAACGGCCCCACAAGCCTAAGCCTCCACGATCCTCCAGGCTGAGAGCCGTAGACCCAACATTAAACCCGAATGCAAGCCCACGCCAAGGCAGGCACCTAAGGTGGCAGAGGCCATCCTGCAGATGTCGGCCCGGCGTGTTCGAAAATGCTTCTCAAGACGGTTTCTTCTCGATTCGAGGCGCAGGTGGAAGTGCTTCACTGCCCCAGGAGATAAAGTTGGATGAGGTGGACAGTGGAGGTCATTTATGCAAAGTACAATACTCCCAAGTCACCGTTGCCAAGAGCCTCGAGCCCTAACAGCCAACTTTTCAGCTTTGCTAGTTGTGTGCAGCTGTGCCAAACGGAAGAGAAGTCGCCATGAATGAGGTGTCAACATGAGCGGATCTGAACCTTAAAACCAACCAAAGGCCCGAAATCCCAGGGTCTCAGTATCGTTCGTGCAAATAAGGCAGGCGCAAGTTAGTTTAAACATGGAAAACAAACCTTTTATAGGGTTTATTTCGTTTAAACACAGAAAAACAAACTTTCGGAGTCCCGGGTAGGCGCAAGTTAGTTTAGACATGGAAAACAAGCCTTTTATAGGGTTTATCTAGTTTAAACACAGAAAAACAAACTTTTGTAGTATTTAGTTTAAACACATAAAACAAAGTGTGGCTGAATTCTTCGTGTTGGAAACAGCGTGTTCAACTAATGTTTGGTTATGCAGTATTTACTTTCCTTTCTTCGCTTTAACCCCCCTAAAACGAATTCGTGCGATGCTTCTTCTAGTAGGTAAGACAACCTCCACCTTGCGAGTTTGTTC